ATAATATATAAATGGATAGGACATTAGGTGGTTTGGTATGTTCTCAAAGTGAATATATGTTACCACGATGGTTATGTCCGGTTAACACTTGTGTTATCCTCAATAGCCTACATTGATAAGTGATTAGGTCACAATTTAAAAAATAAAAATAAATTCATTTTTTATTAGTAAAATTATATTATAGACTATAGTTATTACTTATTATATTATCATTTATTAATTTGTCAATTTGTTATTACTGGTTTTTAAAAAGAATTAATTAATTAATTAATTAGTTTAGTAAATGTTGACCTAATTTTTAATTGTTCGTTTTTTTTTTGATTTCGCAAAGTATTATCTATGTTTATACTCTGTGTTGATAACATAGTTTTATCATAAATCACATTATACCGTGTGTATTAGGTATAGGGATATCCTATCCATATGTTTATATGTTATCTATGGTCCTATCCATGTATATATTAACTATGGTTGGTGCAGGTTCATTTATAAACCTCATTTTGTACGGATGGAAACAGCTAGGTTTGTTATAAATACATTGGTACATGCGTAAACGGAATTATTATTTCTTTGTCTTTATTCTACGATGATTTTAAGGAATATTTACGATTAGTACATTGAGCAAATGAAATAAATTAGCAATATGATGTACAAAGGTAGCTATTGTTAGGAAGGGGACTATCCAGTGATTGATCATAAACTCATCATGGTATTGAAATAAAACTCTTGTACCTAGATTCATAGTGTTAAAAAGATTATACGGATTTTATGTAAGCAATTCTAAAAATAAAAAAATAGTGTATACCATCACCCTTCGCAGCCATGTTTTCATCATCATCGTCGGTGGTAGGTATGTGATCTTTTTTCTGATAAATCGCCTCCTGACCTTACTGCTCGTAGCGTAGAATTTTAAAAATACAATTTTTTTCTATAGTACTTATAATACTATGTATTTATGCTAGTGTACCGTAGAACATAGGTGATTACTAATTCATGAACTCCATACGACTAATGTCGGGTAGACGACCGTCTACCGTGTATAATAATAACAAGGTATAAATATTCAATCGTCAAACGATGGCAAAATACCCATCGCTCAAACGGTATATGTAATACGATATGATATGTATACGTATATATATATATATATATATATATATATATATATATATACTTCATGGTTTCCAGTATAATTTTATCTGATTATGCGTTTGACTCAGTGGCGTGACGAAAGACTATAATTGAGGCACGTGCCTCAGTTTGAAGGGTGGTCCTCAAAGATCATATTCTGATGTGTTAAAAAAAGCATTATTATTTAAATGAATAAATATATTTTATCTTAAAAAAATAGTTAATATTTTTGTGATGGGTGGGGTGGGTGGTGAATCTGACAATATAACTGTGCCTCATAACTTAATGAAGTTCGCCACACCACTGCTTTGACTTATCACTTCATTCGAACTCCCTTGTGTGCCTCTTACTGATATCATAATGCCTTTCCGATCAAGACATCAGCAGTGTAGGCTACATCAGCGTTTCCCAACCTTTTTGCAATGGTGACCCATAAATTTAATCTTTATTAGGTACGCGACACCCTCCCCCCTATAACTTTTTTAGTAGTATACCTTTAATGCTAAAAATGTTAGAAAAAAAATTATATGGATGTGGCACATTTCGAAAAAATAGAAAGTTTTATCCTAAAGATATTTTACAGTCTGACAAATCAATAAAAAAAGGCGATTTCGATTTTGTTCAAAGTGGTGATATTACAGTYACAAAATGGAAGGACAGAGGTAAAAATCCTGTAATTGTAGTAAGTAACATGCATGATGGATCTAAAAAAATTAATGTATTGCGTACAAATTCTATTGGTAGTCGTGATTCAGTGCCTTGCACAGCATCAATATCTGATTACAATATGTATATGGGTGGGGTGGACAAGTTTGATCAGTTGATGGCTGCATACAATATAAGTTGGAAGTCAAGGCGTTGGTGGTTGAAAATATTTTATTATTTGTTAGATTGTTGTATAGTAAATAGTTTTATATGTTATAAAGAGGATTCAAAAAGAAATAAAAAATATATGTCATAACTCAAGTTTAGGTTGAAATTAGCAACTGAATTAAGTGGTAATTTTTGTGTCAGAAAGAGAAAAAGTTATACTCGTTCTGTTGAGCTTGGAGTTAAAAAAACAACAAATAATAGCACATTCCAAGATGTAGGTAAACATGTTCCAATTCAAGGCAAATATCGGAGATGTGGTTTTTGTAGTACAAAAGAAAAAGAAAAAAGATCAAACTTAATTTGCAAAGCATGTGATAAAGCTTTATGCAAAAGTTGTTTTGGGCCTTATCATGATTTACAATAAACAAATACTTGATAAATATATTTTATTTTTTAGCTTATTTTTAGTCAAAAGTCTGACTTATTATTTTAATGTGATAATATATAAATTATGTTACTATATTTATACAAAAGACTAAAATGTATAGTGACTATTTATTATTACTATTATTTGTTGTTTGTTTTTATATTTATTTTACTTGTATGGTAAAACATATAAATATTTTGGTTTTTAGTCATAAGTTTGACTTATTATTTTTTAAATGTGATTAATATATTTATACAAAATACTGACAAGTATACTAATTATTATTGATTGTTTTTTTGTTTGTTTTTATATATATATTGTTGATATAAGTACAACATATTATGTTGAAAATGTATTCAAGTACCTATTTTATTTTATATTTATTTTAAGTATTAACCTTATAAGACTGAAAAGTATAGAGTCAGTCATTTATAAATGTGTGATAATTTAAATTTTATATTATCTTTAAATATTGTTAATAAAAAAACCATTTTATATGCATATTTAACTATTATTTTATTGTATTCCTTTTAAGTAGTCAAGTGGTAAAATAATTTACCAGTAACCAAATAGTGTTAATACAAGTCTTAGATGATCAATGATAAACTATTTTACCACCCTATAACTTTCAAACTTTAAGTATAAAAAATGTTTTTTTTTTCAAATTCATTAAAATATACATGTATGTGAGTCTGGAAAACAAATTTTGGGTCAAACAAAGCAAAAGCACCTTATGCCCTATAAAGGGTTAATTTATGTTACATATATCATATTTTATGCATTGCTTTCTCTTAGTTTTCGTCGATAGGTCACAGGCACGCCTCAGTTCATATCTCTAATATTTATGTCAGGCGCGTGAGGTTGCGTTGTCCCCCACCCCTTACTCACAATAATAATTGCAGCTGAGAGGAGTGAAATAAATATGTATCAATCATATTATTATATTTATCCCACGCGTGGACACCAATTTTTGATACGAATAGATAAGTATAGTGATTAATATTAGTATGTTTGAATGTATAATATTATATTTTTAAATAAAAAGAGTTTGAGAGAGAGAGAGAGAGAGAGAGAGAGAGAGAGAGAGAGACAATGACAGAGACAGAGACAGAGACAGTGACAGAGTGAGAGATCAACACAACAGTATTACACAGGAGTCGATTTGAAAATAATTCGCACGTACCTATATTATCAGCGTGTATCTCTAAGTGGTACATTATTTTATAGGCGGCAGCTAGCGACCGTCAGAATAATATTTTCTCACGATGAATAATATTTTACCACACGGAGAAACGCCATAATAATATTAATATTATATAGTGATAGTTTTCTTGTGAAATATTCTTATGATATTAGTAATATATTACACGAATAAACAACATAAAATATGTATAATTCAGTTATCATCGTGAATTTATTTTATTTATTTCTACATTTACTGCATATCGTTTCTCTAATAGTTCCTAAATCCTGTAGAAAAAACCTTAAGAAAAAACAATTTCAAACAACGGACGAAAATGATGAG